GACACATGCTACCAGTTGCACTGTTTAATTTTGCATCAAAAAGTCATCGCACACCGTTGGAATTAAACGAGTCGTAACAATTAAAGAGAAAAATACTAAGAAATTAAAATCTAGAGTTAGATACATTTATGGCTCCTATCGTCAAAACTTTAGCATCATACATTAAAGACAGCCAACACGCACTTGAAGTTTTTCGTGACTTTAATTTCCTTAGCCAAGACAAACTTCTTTTCACTATGGATATTACATCTCTTTTTACTGTCATTCGCCATTCTGTCGCTCAAACATTTTTTTGATCAACGTACCGTCAAAGAACTTAGCTCTGAAACACGACTCCGCTTAGCCAAACTAGTGCTAATAATAGCCTCCAGTTGAAGTTGTCAAATATTGTTCCAATTCTCTTAATCCCTTTACCTTCCCCGAGTGACTAAGAGAGATTTTCTCCTTACAATATCAATACAATATCAAGCATAGAAGTGATAAGAATAAAGTAAAATATCAATTGAGGATTATTAGTTGATCCAATACCAAACTCTCTAAATTTACATCATAGGAATTGTATGGCTGACAGTGAGGAGAATTGCAAACGAGATCTTGGGAGTTTAAGAGTTAAGTAGTCGGTGGGATTACTCAGGACGTACTCAAATAGTAAAAGAAGCTGGGTTTCAGAAAGCAACGTGCTGACGTCGGGTTTTCCAATTCTTACTGGGCGTGTATGATACTATCGATATTTTCAACTGCCGCGCTACTGACCTGTCACTTTTATTCTCGTCAAAGTATAGCTCTGTAAGAGCTATATGTGGCGGGTATTGTTAGGAGCAGGAATTGATGAATGAAAAGATAATAAACCCGTGGCTTTATTATTATTTGCTCGTTCGCCAGTTTCTTAAGAACTCAGCATTGAAAAGCAAAGTTAACGCGAAGAACACGAGAAGAGGAATCCATGTCTAGAAGCAACCATGTATTATTCTATTTATCATTTAAACACAATAGCCCTTTAGTGACAAGAAAAGCTGCCTCCATTAATGAATGACAATAAAAGAATGGACATTCGTACAGTGCGTTGGCGCTAAGGCTCAAAATGGAAAAATGCGTTGAATCGTGATTACAAAAACAACAATGAGCGTAATTTTCAATTTATAAAACTCATTTATTGACTTTGTTCTTTCCGACAGAAGGAGTCTTTCAGGTAAACGGCAAAAGTCGGTCTGCGGCAAATCTTCTAGTTGTCGATTTTCGTTGTCAGCCGCGAGAAAAGCCATTACCAAAGCCACTGAATATGTGACTGTAGGTTTTCCTTTTTCGTATTTATGGTTTTCTTCCCCTTCTGGGAGAGTTTGAACGTCACTGCCT